TCCAAAGATTTTTATGTTTGGATTTATTTTTTAATTCACAAGCAAATGATATGCTGCCATTTTATCTTTCAAACTTAAATTCAATACTTTTGAATTAAAAATTTCAAAATCTAAAGGAGTCAACCTATCAACATGTATTTATGACTGAAGGTATGTAAATCACCAGAGTTGCTGTAATGCACCATTTGAATAAAAGTCATATCCACATTCTTGACTTTTTTCCCTAAACCTTTTTTCAAAACATAAATTATTCCATCCAGTCTTTATCTACGCAGTGATAATAAAAATTTTACAGAATTCTAAGGTATTACATAGTAATAGTCATATAAACACCCTTGAACATTGTACATTTGATTAACATTTCAATCCTTTCCTAAGAATTTGCACCTAATTTTTATAAAGTCTATAAGTTATCACACAATGTTTAAGTTATTGCATTACAGGACTCAAATCAGTAATCTCAGTTAGTAACTAACTTTTACCCAGGAGTAAATGATCCAAAAAATCTATACAAATATCTTATTGATTCTTCATCTGTGTACTTATGATGTGAAATTTGTAAGTTACAAATTATTGTCAAAGAAGTCATCTCAACTAGAGCCGAGCTCGTTGCAAAGCAACGAGTAGGTCTTCCGTTGGAGCTGTGGACAGGAAGTACCGACCTTGGGTCAAGGTTACTGCACTTTCTTATGTAAACAACCTTTTCTTCTCATCATGAGCCTCCAGTGAATCTTAATTACAAAGTTATGCTTAAACATTTTTTCTCTCTTAGTAACCTTGGTTTGCCAGAAAGACACAATCTTCAATCATAAGTAGTCTATGTTTCAAGTAAGAGCCTCCAATGATTTTCACTTACTAGTTCATAACCTGGAAGAGAACAGATTTCTTTTGTCAGTGACCTTGATTTTAACAGAATAACCTTGGCTCTTTGTCAAGACAAACCCTCAATCTGAAACAACTTTTAGAAACTCATAACTCTGACAGATGTTTTACAACTTTTCTGTCATTGGCCCTGAATTTGTTAAAATGACCTTATTTAAGTCATCTGAAAACCGGCGGACTATAAGCAATTTGATCAAGTATGAACTTAAGCAAATATAGTCAGAATGAAAAAAATACTATTTTCTGAGTCAAAATCGTAAAAAAAAAATCTTTTTATCACAAGCAATCTCTGTGTCAGGTATGAGCTTACAGATATTCTCGATTACATATAAATGAATGCAACAAAACATTAATTCTTTCTCCAGTGATCTTGATTTTCCTGTAAAATTGCCTTGAATAAATACAATGATAAATCCGAGGATCATTTAAAATCTTTGTATCGAGTACAAGCTTCTGGTTTCTTTATGTCATAGTCTGGCCTTCTGGGAAAAACTTTCAGGGACAGACAGACTTATGGACAGTTAAACAGACCGTTTCATTCACGTCCCATCCCCACTACCCCCCAAAATACACAATCACTTTGCAAGGGAAAACTCTAGTCATGATTTGAAAAAAAAGGTAATCTTTTTTATATCAGTAAGCTTTCATAAATATTGTTTCTCATACTTGCACTGAAGTTCATAAGAATAATATTTCAAAACGACCTTTTTTTTAACTGACCGTTTTCTTCATTGTTTTCATTTTATATCCCCAAAGGTTGCCCACATAACGCAGTGATTAGAGAGACTGCTCTATAGTTGCGAGGTAAGGATCAGCTCCTTACGCCGAGGTTTCGAATCCCACTGTGGGACGTGGGGACCTGTTCTTCCGATGAGACCGTATACAACAAAGTCCTGTGTCGCTTTAGGTGCTGTCACAAAAAAGATCTCTCCCTGCTCAAAGGCCCTATTAAGTGCCGATTATAAGACAATTAATGTTTAACTATGGTGTCGGTTATGATTTCAACAGTTTAAATTAGGAAATAAAAGTGTAATTACATGATAAATTTCTAATATTCAGAACATGTAGCTGCAGATTGTTATATAAGTTCTTAAATTTTCGATTCCGTACATACAATGCAGGTTTATTACTACTTACATGTTCATTGTATAACCTACTTCTGATATTTTTAAAATCACGGAACAAAATTAAAATGTTTGCACACTATACTAATCATTTACAGGTTTTGATTAAATTATCACACATGTTGAGGATAGAAGGGCACATTTCATCATGTTTAGTATATTTCTTAGTTTGTCCTCAATGTCTAGTTAAACATTCAAATGTGTTTTGTTTTTCTAATAATTATAAGAAAGAAATATTACAGTTACCAAAAAAGTAACATGAAACCTACCTTTGCCTATTGCAACAAAATTTAATGACAACCGCAACGTAAATGTTATGTAACTCCATATGAGATATATACATGTACACTTATCATATTTGATTTTACCATCTATTTTAATTATCAACAACCTTAAACTTTACACTACGGACCTAGATAAATTTGGAGTATTTGAAAAATCCATTGTTTGGAAAAGAAGGGAATTTAAAGTTGACAATGTGAAAAAATACTTTGGGTTGCCTTAAGCATTTTTAAATGTATTTGAATGGTACGGTCAGATAATCAAACATCTAATTAAATAAATCTGAAGCACAATTTGACTTCATAATTAGATATATGTAACTGCCATGGATTAGTAGGCCTCCACCGTCGAACGGTTGGTATTTTGCAAATTATATATATATACTGACACGCAAAAGAAACGCCCCACTTTAGGGTGAAATAATTATGTAAAGTAAAAAAAATGGTATCTTTAAATTATGGATATCTTCAATTTGGTAAATATTAGTAATTTAACGATTGCACAATTTTCATACCATAACCGGAAGTCAAGTTTGAGTCTGGTTAACAGAAATCAAAAATTGAATGTATAACAAATATTTGGCAATATTATGGAGTTTTAAGGTTTGTACTGTTCATCTTAAGTAATGCAGCGATATTTCAAAAAATAAAATCTTTCGTTTCCCGTAACGATGCTTGAAAATCTTGAAAATAGCTTAAGTATGCATTTCCATTGCTGTAGCTGAAAAATCTAACAGTACGAGGGTCATTCAAAAAATACGTAGACAATGCTTCTCATTGTCATATGATTATTACAAGATTATAGATCAACACATTTCCGTAAACATAAACATTTATTTTGTCGAAGTGTGAAGTTTCATTCCATTTGATTAAACAGAACACAGTTTAGCCAAAATTAAAAGCAACATGTTTTGTTACCACGGAGCATGGTTAACCAATATTGTAACGTCAAAAACAACGCTGAGAAAGTTTGTCAAATGTATACACATTTTTGTTATTTCATACACGGTTTGTTGCGTCTTCTCCATTCAAAACACATTTCCACAATACTTAACACCTGGTTTGCTAACAATTGTACAAATATAGCTTGAATTAGAATGTTATTGTTCTCAAATTCTTTGATTTACCATGCAACTTTATTAATTCTGCAACATTGAAGCACACATCACGTTCAATGACGTTCCTAACTCTTTTGACAATATTTTTAAACTTTAACCTGTTTCTTTGCAGACAATCCATCGTCCGATTCACACTCGCCACCACTCAAAAATTGTATTTTCAACTTAATACAAATACACAGATTTTTTTTCATTAAGATCCTGATATATAAGGATTTTTTAAGCTTGTAGAAAAAGTTTCCCAAATGTAAAGTCTAATTTTATTCCTACTTGCTGCTCCATGACGTCCTCCAACGTCATGGTTTTTTCCCTTTTTTAATCAAATCCATATGTATTAAGAAGTTGATATCTTTTAAGCGGAACGAGATATTACATAACCTGATTTCATTCTAATTAATACAGCAGTACATTCTTTAAACATGTAAATTTTATTTCGTTTCAGCTTCATCTATTAGATGTATAGCTGTAAATACTATAAAGTAAAGTTAAAATAAGAAAATTACTCAATTTTGACGGTGCTCCGTGACCCCATTTTTGCTGTTCTAAATCCTTGGTAATTTTAATAAATATGAGGATACATTCTAATTTTCTTACTCAAATTATCTGAATCTGTTGTTGAAATATTTGTACCAAATTTGGATATAATATGACGTTAAATAAAAAAAATAGGACAAAAGTCTACGAACTTTTTGAATGACCCTCGTAAAGGAGATGGAGAGTTGATGATGCAAAAATACACTTCATTACGCCCCAAAGGTGTCTTATGTATTATATTGATAGATGATAGTCCTTGGACCGGAAGTCCAAGGGTTAGTACAATGCGCTAAGTTAAAGAAAATTCGACCTAATCATCTGAAAAAACAGACATTTAAAAATGGCGAAGAATAATTCCTTCGCTCAGATCTCGATATTTATAAACCTATTATATCATAGAAATAAAGTTGCTAATGTTGTTTAGGACAGTCTTGCACGCTGAAATTGAATGGCTGGGAGGGGGTGTTTTAAGTCATATGTAACTACGTATGGTTAAAAGATAAACATTTCACATTGTTATCCAATATCTGATGTTCTAAAAGTGACTTTAGCCTTGCTGTATTCTTTTTTTAAAAATTATTAGAAAAAAATTCAAACACTTGTAGATTACTGCTTGTTGCATTTCTTTTGCGTTTCAGTATAATTAAATGATAATCATATGCAATCTATCATTTAGTTGAATGTTGCCTATTGTTTTTCAGGCAATTTGTTCGGACTTTATTTTCACACACGAATTTCAATTTGGCGGATGACAAGGACCACACTTGCTTTTTGTCGACAGGGGTTGTTCACTACTCTACGGCACCAGATGTATCTCTGTTTTTAGAGGTCCAAGTTGGATTTGTTCATAATCTGTACTACTTTGAATAATTTGAAAAGATCCACCTTTATGTTTCATTCTTTATTTTTAACATTGTGCATAATGTGTTTTTTTTCAAATCAATTTCAACAGATTGTGTCCCTAACTACATACATACTCTACGTTGATGCCATGCTAAGTGTCAGCAGCCATTGTAAGGTATGAAAGTGTTCTCAATATTCTCGGATATTATGTTATTTTGCTTCCGGTTTGAGTTGATGAAGTAGAAAGATGATTTTCATCATTTTCTCCTATTTGCATGCGGTTCAAGTAGCGAAATAGAAGTCAGCATCACGTGCTTATTATCTATTTTACTGGAAATCATGAATTTAAAGACTCTTGATGGAACCATTAAAGTGAATTTATACTAAAATTCAACCATTTGGAAAATGATTGAATCAAGAACATTTTCTGTATCTACTCAAACTCAAAATGCTTTCAAGGTCATGCATGAGTTACGACTTCGTAACTTATTGTGAGACATCATACTCAGAGTTGATGGGAAGGATTTCACTGGTCATAAAGTAGTGTTGTGTGGGTGCAGTCCCTACCTCTGTGCTATGTTTACAAATGGAATGTTGGAATCAGAAAAAACACAAGTAGAAATACAGGGCCTGGAGTCCTGGGCAATGGGGGAGTTAATTGAATTCATGTACACCAGCGTGATCGAGATAAACGTCGACAATGTTCAAGGGATTCTACAAGGAGCCAGTTTACTCGGGTTACACCAACTGAGGAAGATGTGTGCCACATTTCTACAGTCTCAGCTTACTGCCTCCAACTGCCTCGGAATCCATGGACTTGCTGATATGTATATGTGTGGAGAACTAGAATCTGCTTCAAGACATTTCATTAATCAGAACTTCTTAGAGGTCATTCACTGTGAAGAATTCATGCAGTTATCATGTGACCGTCTTATTACTCTGCTCAAAAGTGACAACATTCGTGTGAACAATGAAAACCAAGTTATGGATGCAGTTAACAACTGGATTCAATGGGATCCCGATAACAGACATTCTGAAACTTGTCGTCTACTCCAACACGTCAAGTTACCTCTGTTAGGTATCTCTCATTTAGAAAATGTAGTTGTGCAATTAGAATGTTTGAAAAATTGCCCCAAGTGCCAGTTGTTGATTAGCAAAGCTATCACGACCCTGCACGATGACACCTCCCTACAGCTGATCCGACCGCGTGCCATGCCTATCAGTATCTATGTCCTCGGAGGCCGGAATAGCGCGGACTGTCAGTTACCCAGTACCGAGAGATACGATTTCCTTCTAGATCAGTGGACACATGTTAGTGATATGAACATAGCCCGCACAGCAGTAGGAGCATGCAGTATAGAAGGCATGCTGTATGCTGTGGGAGGGGAATGTGCCTTAGCTGACACTCAGGAGGACACGCTATACTTACGCTGCGTGGAGTGCTATGATCCAGTACTTAGACAGTGGGTCCCTAAACCCGACATGAAAGTAGCCAGGTCATTTGTGGCGGTGGCAGCAGTTGGGAAGTACTTGTATGCAATTGGTGGAGAGGATCGTGCCACTAGTTATAGCATAATGGAAAAATACGACATTAATTCCGAAACCTGGTCATTTGGTCCGAACATGAAGAGGAAACGGGCCGGGGCAGGGGTGTGTGTATGTGACGGCAGAATCTATGTAGCTGGAGGATATGACAAGACTCTACACATGGATCGAGCCAGCGTGGAATGTTATGACCCCAATACTGATGATTGGACATTCGTAACAGAGATGGAGAAAGCTAGATCTGGTCTGTCTGTGGTTGCCATTGACCACAACATCTACATGATAGGAGGGCGATACAAAACAGCTGATCAGTACTTTGATGTGGCAGAAAGGTATAACACTATCACTAACCAGTGGACCACACTATGGTCTATGAACCAGCCAAGAGCCTGGCCAGGAATCGCAGTGTATGATGGGAGAATTTATCTGATTGGAGGATTTGATGGCTCATACAGACTTCGAAGTGCTGAGGTGTATGACATTGATAGAGACAGGTGGTCATTTATCAGTAATATGCTGGTGGGGAGAGCAGGGTGTGGGGCAGCCATAGTGTGAGGGGAACACCCTCCCCTTCCCCCTCCCCATGATAAACAGAAGAGGTGCTGATAGCTTCCTAGTCTTGTGTTATTTATTGCGAGGATCTATTGTGATATTTTTATAAACACTTCCTGCACAAATGTTGTGATATATCATTTAGGCATTGGTAAAATCTTTTCTTATTCCTTCAAGGCTGTGATATAAAATTAGCAGGGAAAAAAATCGGGAAATTGTGTAGTAAATTACATAAGTACACAGGTAGTATAATCAGTGCTATTTATTGGCATACATATACAAGTATATAGTATCAAGTGCTAGTAGTTTCAGATTTACTCTAAGATATACAGTGTATTGTAACTTACTTGATTCAATCTGACATTTTTTGTCAGTTGCAGGTGCTTTGACATGAATTTTTATGTTATTCTCAGAAATTATCTATGATAGTCTTCCAAAGACTTTGGACAGACATAATTCTCATTTTGAATGTTCCAATGACTGCTGTGATGAATGTTTTTTTTATTGGACATTTTTCAAATGCAGTCTCCTTTTGTTGATGGAAGTGCATAAGATATATACTCAACAAAAAAAGAAACGCATAATCAGAATGATATGAAATTCTAAGTTTTCAGTTTAAACCTTACATAATTTAAGCGATTTTAGAGTGTGTTATGATAAAATCAATGTTGCATATTGAAATGTCAAGTTTAGGTCATTTTCATTGCCCCTAAATTCAAGGGGCATAACAATATGTACTGTGCAAAGTCTCAGTGCTTGTGGGTTTCCAATGTACGGCTATCGTGGGGGAATATTATCTCATTTCAGTTTCCTACGAACAATTTATGCATTTTTATGCTGATTTTTTCATCAGCAATTGTAGCAGCAGTTTTACAGCAAGTTCTGAATCGCCTGAAGTGATGAAGGGGGGGGGGGTGTCTGACGGTCCTGCCTGGTTTTGATTACCTGAGGATGGCCAGATAGTGGTCTTCAGACGTTAGTTTTAAGGTTGCAAAGCCCATTGATTTATTTAAAATACAGTTGCAACTTCCTGTTGCATAGATCCATTTAGTATCATCGTTAGCCTGGTTTTAGTCATCTTTGTTTGGGCGTGGCATTGCAGTATTAACACTGCAATAAAATCTTAAATATGGGTTTAAAAGAAGTGTTAAAAGTTTCTCTAAATCCAAAATATCAATGAAAATAGACATCTGATTTAGAAGAAATCATGAAAAACGCTACTTTCATAAATAAGTTTAATCAAGGGAGATAATTCAACACTTGGGTTTTAAAACCCCATGTTGTCCTTTAAATAGGTCACATGTATCCAGTGATATAAAAAATAGTTGTTTCATGTGCATTTTAAAAATGTCTTTGACAAATAAAACAATATGCGTTTCTTTTTTTGTTCATTATATGTATATGCTGCGGAATTGATTGCTTTCTTTTGGGAAACATGTTCTTGCATTTCATCTATTGTGTATGATGTTGTGGTATTATAAAGTACAATTTTGATGATGTCCTGAAATGTTTTATATGTGCTCTTGGGAACATGTACAGTATATTGTAAAAGGAAATCATTTTATATGGAGGCTATTTCTTTCCTGAAAAAGTTTTCAATGTTGACTTTCTATTATTAAACAGACTGAATACAAACAGTTGAATTATGTCACTATTGTGTCAAAGTGATCTACAGCGGATTTACATGTTAATTAATCCATCTTTGAGATTTCCTCTAATATAATTGAAATGTGTACATTTTCATTTGGTGGATGAAATGCCTCAAGGCATACACTGTTGTAGTTTTTAAGCTTATAATTTTCCCAACATCATTCATCATCTTGTTTTACTATGCTAAATAAATGATACTGAAGCTTTCAAAAAAAAAAAAAGTGTTCTCAATGTCAGGGAGACATTGAATTCTTTTTCTGTAATACGTATAAACATGATTTGTTTCTTCAGTGTAAAGAAAGACAGGGTACCATGCACCATGATGTAATTTGCCGTGGGAAATATAAATACATCCCTCAACAAGAGACCTGTGTAAGACACCCGAACAGAATCTGTAAATTGCACTGTCTCCCTTGTGAATGTTTTGTTTGTTTCGACTGTACAGAAAACAGAGAGCACGAAATGATGATCTATAGAACAGTGTATAAAAACCATCAAAAGCTCGGAGAAGTCATTCACAACATCAAAACTTCATGCCTCAATAAAAGTCGATTTGTTTTGGCAGGAATCAAAACTGATAGAAAAACGAAAGAAACAAAAAGAAATCTTCAACCTTCAATCAGAGATGTCAATAAAAGCTCAAACATTAAAACACCTCATCGACAACTTAATTCATGATTCAATAATCAAATATAGAAGATTTATGATAAATACATTACAAAAAAAGAAGAGAAAGAGTCAGAAACATATTGCCACTCTTGAGAACTACGAAAAGAGAAATGAACAGTCAGTATTCAAAACGATAAAATTACTAGTTTTCCTAAAGGAAAAGCCATTCCTAAAGCCAATAAATTCTTCTTACAGTCTTACACTCTTCCTTCCATCCATGAATAAGGAAACCGATATGGAGAATGTGATAAAGCTACTGAGAGAATTTCAAATAACAGAGACAGGAAAAAGACAAGTAAGAAAAGATTGTCTTTTGAAATTGATGTCTACACCTCAGTTAACAAGAACTGTCACAGTGAAAGATGTTAGCTGTGTATATCACATCAGCTGTGTGACAGCAGACCAGATCTGCATCAGTGATTGTGAAAACAATTTCATTTTCGCAAACAAATTCGGTGACAAATTACATTTGCTGCATACAGGTAGTGATGGTTTTAATTATGGAGAGCATACACTGAACAATAACTGTCTTTTTTATATATCCAGGAATGAAACAGTTAGAATTAACAAACTATCCATAAATAATTGGGAAGAATGTACATTTATAAAGTTAACAGAACCATGGAAACAGCTGTGTGTCTTTTGCTCCCCATCCGATGGAGACCTTCTGGTAGGAATGTTAAGATATGATACAGGTTCTGCCAAGGTAACGCGTTTTAACAACACAGGACAACTCACAAAGATAATTCAATACAACAACACAGGTCAGGAACTTTACAGTGAACCTATTTACATTACAGAGAACCGAAATGGTGACGTTATTGTATCAGACTATAGCTGTGGTGAAGTGGTAACAAATAGCAAAGGAAGATTTCGTTTTTCTTACACTCGTCATTCATCAGGGTCACGAATATGGCCAAGTGGAATTTGTACAGACACGCTCTCCAACATTCTGGTATGTGATGTTAATACTGATACGGTTCAGATGATTGACAAATACGGGCATTTCCTATCAATGCTACTGACCCAACAACAAGGGATAGACAGACCACACGGCCTTAGTTATGATGAGAAAACTCGTCATCTTTGGGTTGGATCATACAAAAACAATAAAATACGTGTATATCAATATATAGAACCACAGGTCCATTAACCTGGCCATTTCAGTTAATAAATGCAATACATCTATACATGTATAGATAGTATAAATAGATGTATATACAGATTTTATTGAGAATATTTACATTCGCTGTGTTTTTCTACTAAGCCAACAGTGAAATTGATTTGAATACCATTTTTGGTGTATATTCACGCGTAGAAATATACACGGAGACACGTGCGTTAACGTGATGTCACAATGAGGTTGCAGCAATGTTAGTAAAATCACAACGATATAGGGCAGCGAGAAATTCAAATATTGAGTATATTTAAGTTGCTTCCAAACATGTAAAATGTAAATATAAGGGATGTTTTAAAGTTTAGTGTGAAGTATTGGTGTGCGAGTCACACAGACTTAAACATTTCTTAAATATTATACTGTGATTTGTAAATTAAATACTTTTTCATGTGGAATTCACAATAATCTGGAAGTTCATTATTATGAAGGAATTTCAGACAGATCATTGTATTTAATAAAATACATAAAAACATAAGTATATTTAGACATAAATCTACTAGTATATGGCAAGTCATGACAAAATGAAGAAACATGTCATCCTGACAAGTTATTGTAATTGATAATAAAAGTCCGTATTAAACATATATCCATTATTTGTATGGATATTTATATAGAAATCTATTATTTCATATTCAAGTAGAGTATTTTAAGCTGTATATATTTGTTACTGTATACCTGATAGTTTCGTTCATTTATCTAAGGGGTTTTCCGTTTGTACGATCAAGACAAAGAGCTCATTGTGAATGTGATTGATCAACAGTGAATGTGTCAAACCTTACTACTATTTTTAAAGCATGAAACTATTGTTGTTTTTATTATGCTGAATGATTATAAAACGACAATATTTACTCAATTTGAAATGTTTCTTCAACTCTTACAACATGCAAGTATACCCCTATTCTGACGTCACGTTATGTTACATGTACGTCATTATCATTTTTTTTTTATTTTTGAGTTTTACAAGCAATAAAGTATTGTGTACAGATAATTTCAAAGAAGTAAAGGTGAGTGAAGGTAAAATGTTAAAAGAAAGTATTTTTAATAAAATTATTATGATTTGTCTAAAGAGTGGGGGTGAAAAAATAGCTGTATTGTTTAGTGTAAGGGACAGTCCCAGGTAAATGTAGATTTATTTTCCGGTATATGATAGCTCTACTTCCCATTTAAAGCTTTATGAGTGAAGATGTCCTCATCGGATGGAGAAAATGGTACATATTTCTCCGAAATACAGACCAAAGGGTGACAAATACTCTAAAGTAGGTAGGCACAAACAGGAGTCTGTTTGCAGTAAATATCGCAAATTTTTGTGAACAATCAGGATTTAAGGTACATTATACGAAACATTCTTTGAGAACAAAAGTAATGACCCGTTTGTATGAAGCTGAGATTGAGGAACGGCTAATACCAAAAAAAAAAACGAGACACAAATCTATTACAGTTTGAACCAACAATTGAACCAACAATAAATAGCAGAAGAGAGTAAATAAAATAATTCATGGAAATATGGGGATTCAGATAATAGCAGGTGTATGAAAAAGATGAAAATTTGTGATCCCTCTCCCAAAAATAATTTTGCTTGCAGTGATCTAGTGACATCATTTCATGTAGGGTTAGGGTTAGGGTAATTTATCTTTATTTTCTAAAATTTAATTTGAAATTTGAACATATCTTAGAACATTCATGGAATGGATCTACCACGTCCAGCATTCAAAATGTTGCAAAGGGGATGAAAAAAAACTACTGTAT